GAGAGAGAGAGAGAGAGAGAGAGTGTGTGTGTGTGGGGGGGGATATTTGTGTGGGTGTGTATGGGTGTATGTCTGTGAGTATATGTATGTGTTTCTGCTGTCTATGTTCATGTTTAATATACATCAGATTCTTTTTTTTTATATATTGCTTTTCGGATCAGATTATCATGTATCATCTTTTTAACGCTCTCATATCGACATTTTCGTCTTCAGAAAACTGGGCAACAACAAGATAAAACGTTTACCGGCTGATGGACTTTTCAAGAGACTGCCAAATCTCCAAGTTCTGTAAGTCCTCAATCTCTCTCTCTCTCTCTCTCTCTCTCTCTCTCTCTCTCTCTTTCTCTCTTTCTCTCTCTCTCTCTGCCTCTCTCTCCCTCTCTCTTTCCTTCTCTCTCAAGCTACCCCCCTTCCCTCTTTCGCTCTCTTTCTCTCTCTTTTCTCTCTCTGTCGCTTTTGCTGTTTACTCTATCCTTCGTATATGTCTTTCTCTTTCCATTTAAACACAGACATAAACACACCAACCCCCCACCCACCCCCCAACACACTCAATCATCCACTCACCCCTTAGCGCTCACAGAACTGTACCCAATCACACACACACACACACACACACACACACACACACACACACACACACACACACACAAGAACATACAAACACGTATTTTGCATTTGTTTGATAGGTTTGTCTTTCTAATCAAAGACTTCAACTAGATATTCAGTGTACTTAAAAGAGGAATAGTCATCACATTTCGCCCCATTTTCCCTCTCATCTTTTTGGACAGTTATATTGACACACTGTTTTTCTTTTTTATCGCTATTTCAGGATTAGTATTATGTGAAACATTTCTTGAATTTTCATGTTCTTTTAAAAAAATGTAAATATTACTTAGAAAGATATTTTTTTAAACGTTTTCTTTATTCATTAAAATTAATTGGGTCAAAAAGATCGCCTTATTTAAATGGCAATGGCAAGGTATCTTCGACTCGCAAATCACAACACGGTGTATTATTATTATTTGGGTTTATAAATGAAGGCTTATAATGTACATACGTGCGCGTGACTGTTTGTCTGTTTGTATGTGAGTCTTTTTATTTGGATGAATTCGTATCTTCTTATTTGTGTATATTATGTTGGTGTAGCTGTGTACGCATGCGTATTTGTGTGTGTGTGTGTGTGTGTTTGTGTGTGTGTGTGTGTGTGTGTGTGTGTGTGTGTGTGTTTGTGTATGTGATTGTGTATGCGCCTGTGTCTGCGTGTGTGTGTTTGTGTGTGTTTGTATGTGTGTGTGTGTGTGTGTGTGTAGATGCGTGTATGCGTTCGTGTTTGTGGAAAG